AATTTTTGTGCCCCCCCCCCCCCCCCCCCCCCCCCCCCAAACACCAAAAATAAAATAAAATCATAATCACACATTTGAAATGGAAACAAGATTGTATGTATTTGGCATCAAGATATAAGCAAACAGAATTAGAAAATGGAACCTGGCCATCTCTTGAAATTAGAAGTACTCTTCCAACACGTCTCTATCTTGTGAAAAAGAAAATTTTAAATTTACAACTACCAGCCAGTTAATACTCTCTCCGTCCCATTTACATAGACTGACTTTCCTTATTTCCTTATCCCAATTATTTCTTTATTGAGAATGTTTTGTTTTGTCATTTGCTAAAATACCCTTATTTAATTGCCTAATTATAACAAAATTTTCCCGCTTAATCTTGAAATTGTACAAATATAAATAAGGATAAATTAGAAAGTTTTTGGCAAAAATTATTTTCTCAATAACATTAAATAAGATTTCTTAATCATTGTGAAAAACAAAATCAGCCTATCTGAATGGGACGGAGGAAGTAGTATCTTTAAAATTCATTCAGATTGGTTAAAATCATAAAGAAAAAGGAAGACAGAGATATCAATGGTAGTTAAAGACAGCAAATGATTGGCTAGGGAAAAAAAAATAAAGTTACAGAATTATATCACAATCCTGAGATGACTGAAAAACATATTGAAATCATTAATGAAGACTTACTATATCGGTAGGCTTATTCTTGTTGTACTCCTGACTCTTGGACTGAACAACCTTCTCCAACATTTCTTGATCCCAGTCCTCCATTGTTTCCTTTTCATTCTCTTTATGAAACCAATAAATGAGATTCACAGAGACAAATCAAAATTATGGGAGAAAAAAAAAAACTGTAACCAAATTGGAGATTTGATGATAGAATTTGAACTTCCACTATTAACCTTCATCGCGCTTATCACTATAAACGTCGATCTTCTCTCCTTTCCTTTGAACATTCAAATCGTGAGAGAACTTGCACTTAAAACCTTTGGCACATTGACCAGCTTTGTAGAACTCGCACAATATTGACTTCGGATCAACACCTAGATAAGTCAAATGTTGATTCTCAAAAATTTAGACACCAACATTTCAGATAGACAAAATAACGATATAATCACAAATTGTCGATCCTAAACTTCTAGAATCCAATATTTACAACAAGTCCCTCGGGGAAACAATAAATTAAAAGAATGGCAGAAAGCTAAAACCACGCATTCACATATACATGCTTATCTGAGCACCACGGAGCTTATATAACACTGCCCACTATTTAATTGAACGGAGGAGATTTTACAGGAAAAACTAATTAGAGAAGTTACCTGGAGGAACTTTGGGCTGACTCACTGCAACTTTAAACAATTCATTGAGCTCCTTCTCTTTTGCCTTCTCCTCCTCTTTCTTTTTCTGTTAATTTCCCACACAAAAAAACAAGCAATCAATCGATGAACAGTCAAATGCAATCCCGGTTTACATAATCAATGAATGTAATTCGACCTTGGCGTCGATTTTGCTGAGTTCAGGCCTGGGCTGGACGGATTGTTTGAGGGATTGAACGTATTTCTGAACATTCTTGGACTTGTTCTTGTTCTTCAATCCGAAAGTCTTGTCTTCGACTATCTTCTGCTTCTTCGCCAAATCCACTTTCGATTGCTGCTTCGGAGGCATTTTTTTCTCTAATATTCTCGATGATTCTTAATCAAATAATTTATTGACAAATTATTAATAAATTGATAGCTTAAACTTGATGGATTTGAATTTCGCGGTTTCTAATTGATTGAGCGTCGGAAATTATGGTGCGGACGGAACAGTGCTGGTTTGCGAGAAGGGCATGTCGCAGTACGGTTCGCAGCCGCTGTTAAATTGCGAAAATCCTTAAGCGTGTTTGTGTAAGTTTAAAAACGTTATACTTGGCAGTAACGTTTCTAATTATCAACTTTCATCTCTTAACAAAATTGTCCCTCGTTTGACCCATTCTCTTTCTTTTTCTCCTTCTTATTTTCAATCACATAATCTTTCATAAAATAATGAATAAAACCACTTGTACAATGTATTTGCACAACTTCATTGGCAATAAGTGTGTTGGAAAAATCATGACCATTGATTTTAAAAACAGTTTTTCAAATAGATGGATGTGATGTTTGTCAAGTCATACATTGTAAATCAAGTTGTAAAATACATTGTACAAGTAGCATGATTGTAAAATAATATTACATATAAATCGAAAACTTTTCTTTCTTTTTCAACAACACATTTTTCAAAAAATCACTATTCTGACCATTAAAATTCGAAAAAAAATGGGAGCTAAATCTCTAACCTTTCAATTATTGACATGTCTAATCTCTAATTAACAAACTGTTCAAAAAGGAGCCCCTTATGCCATCACAGAAGACAAGAATATTATATATAGCCAGAGTTTAAAGAGTTAATTGTTTTGGATACTAACTAAATTTTTATCATTGTCACGGTTTACTCACTGGACTTAAAATTGCACTTAAATACTCACTAAACTTTTAGAACTTGCACTCCATCCCCTGTTATTCAATTTACCATTTCAAAAATAGCTTACATGGCTTGACGACATCTGACGTTGTTGTTGACAGAGTTAAATATGCACAAGTGACTGCCAATGATGCAAAACGTATATTAAAAAAGTTCTGGCAAAACACATTTTTCCTTCAAAACACACTTCTCAGAAAAAAGGAACGTTGAAAATTTGCTCCTCAAGATCAAGGTTTTTCTTCTTGCTTGGCTTCACCTTCGATTCCAAAATGGTGTGCATCACCTGTTGGAAAATTTAATGCTTTAAATTACTGGATCTTTCATGTTAAATCATCAATAAATATAAGAATTAAAGCGGAAGCATACCTGAATCTGACATGGTTAATGCAATATGAATTTCGCGGTATGGTCTTCCAATTCTACACGCAGTCTCCTTTTCCTCTCTGTGATGGGATGCAATAGAGAATGAATAATTTGTTTCGTTGCGTGTGATCTGGGGACCATAACCTATTTATATAGGGATGCCCTTTGACTTAATTCGGCCCATCATAGAATTAGGTCTTGGGCCCGGTCTCTACACATATGTAAACCCGTACTTTAATTGAATACATTAAAGCCCAAAATTGAAACCTTATTAGATCACTTTAATTGGGTTTAACCGAATTCGATAGCCTATAATTTAACACACAATTATTACACATACAAGCCCATTTTTAATTAAAAATCCTTACAATCTCCCACTTGGGCTATATGTGTCACCTTATAATTGTGCATTAAATATAACCTTATGAGTACTCAGAATTTTGCTATCATTACCGAATGTATCCCCAAACAATCCCGTCCATCAATCATATCAACATAGGATCAAAGCGGCTTTCGCTACTTTCACGTAGCTAAACCCATCAATGGTCACGTATATCAATATAACCGAATGACATGGATCAAGCATGGATGTGTAGCATGAAAATTACATGTAATGTGATCTGTAACATGCCTATTTCCAACTGGTCCAGCTTAATACCTTAGTGAGATCATTTTAAACAAGTTCAAAGATAATTAACCAAATAACTTTATAACTGAAAATAACTTTAACTTTAAACCGTATCCAAAATAACAGTACATGTGTCCAATATGAAAAACAAAAATACAAACTCTCACTGAAATTAGATATCCTCAAGAGACATTACACCCATATGAGCAGTGTGCTCATGAAAGACCTTGGGTATCAATCCTTTAGTAAGTGGATCCGCAACCATGGAGTTTGTCCCAATATGCTCTATTGACACCTGTCCACTCTGAACTCTTTCTTTAACAGCAAGGAACTTGATCTCTATGTGTTTTGACTTTGTCGAGCTCCTGTTGTTATTGGAATACAGCACTGCTGATTTATTGTCACAAAATATCTTAAGTGGTCTTTCTATATTGTCCACAATACGCAGTCCAGTGACAAAATTACGCAGCCATATTCCATGATTTGATGCCTCATAACACGCTATAAACTCCGCTGCCATGGTAGAAGTAGCTATGAGTGTCTGCTTAGCACTCTTCCAGGAAATAGCACCTCCAGCAAGCAGGTAAATATAGCCTGAAGTGGATCTCCTACTATCTTAGCATCCCGCGAAATCAGAATCAGAATAACCGATGATCTCCAACTGATCCAATCTCCTGTATGTGAGCATGTAGTCTTTTGTTCTCTGTAAATACCGCATGACCCGTTTGGCTGCTTTCCAATGATCCATTCCCGGGTTACTTAAATATCTCCCTAGCATCCCAACGATGTACGCTATATCCGGACGTGTACAAACCTGAGCATACATCAGACTCCCTATAGCTGAGGAATAAGGAATCTTCTGCATTTCTTTAATTTCCAAGTCATTTTTAGGACACTGACTTAAGCTGAACTTATCTCCTTTAGCCACAGGGGTGTCACATGGTTTACAATCTTGCATGCCATATCTTTTAAGTACCTTTTCGATATAGCTCTTTTGTAATAATCCAAGAACACCTCGAGAGCGATCTCAGTGTATTTGAATTCCTAATACAAAAGAGGCATCACCAAGATCTTTCATCTCAAAATTCTTTGCTAGAAATCTCTTGGTTTCGTGCAATAAGCCTATATCGTTGCTGGCAAGCAATATGTCATCGACATATAAAACCAGAAAAATATACTTGCTCCCACTGAACTTGTGGTATATACAATCATAACTGTTCACGAAATAATTCTTTCGATTTAAAACTACCGCAAGTGTACGGTTCGTAACGAGTAATAAAGTGGATTTTTAAAAGTCCGAATATCGTCCCTCAGAGATTGAGTAGTTCAATTCTATTTAATCTAGCCTTAATCGAATCTAATTGAGTGAAAATGTGATCTAAGTGCAAAAAGCCCCAATTTCAATTAAAAACCCTAATTTCAACTAAAAACCCTAATTTCTCAATTAGAAACCCTAATTTCGAAATTTCTCTAATTAAACGACTTAAACACTCAAGTAAATGAAATTAAGCAAGTTTAAAAGCTAATTTATTAAAATGAATCAAATTAAAGTAACTAGGATCACGCATCCCTAATTGAAGTTATAAAAACCCTAATTTCATAAAATTAATGATTCGATGAAAATTTGCCAATTCAATGTTCCTATTCTATCCAATATACTCTCTCGATATATATTAGACCTATTCTTGCACACCACCAGCCTATATTTCTATGAATGATGCAAACATACAAGAATGCATGTAGTTTTGTGAACAATTTAAGAATTACATAAAGCATAGGGGTATATCTCTATCCCCTATCGGACCCTATGTTAATTTACACCTTATCGAACCTATTCCACTTCTCTCGAATGTAAGAAACAAGTCATCAATACTCACACAATCATTGGCCACTAATTGCGGAAGAAAATTAATGCATGTAAATCAATCAAAATATCCAACGAATCTTTATATCAAGTTCATGAAATATAGAATTAAAATAACAAACAACGGTTCATCGATCACCCAGTAATTAAAACCCTAGCCTAGAAGATTCATAATTACAGAAAACAAAACGAAATTAATGACTAGAAGGAATAACACCCGCATGAAAGTTCTTGAAATCTGAATTCTTGAACAAAACCTTGAAAACCCCTTTGAATCCTTGTGAAATCGGCTTTAAGTTTGTGTTCCTTGTCTCCAAAAGTTGTATTCTTCTTCTCCCTGGACGTTCTGCCCTTTTTCTGATGAATTTTGGCTTTTATATCATGTCCCCACGGAACCCCAAAAGAGTTTCAATTAAAAATGGGATTTCAGAATTTTTTATCGACCTTAAAGCCATGAGGCCGCATGGTTTAATTTTTCAGCTCATTTGGATCCTTGCAATATCCTGTGCGGCCGCAAGGAATTATAACCATGCGGCCGCATGGTTATAAAATTTTTCCTCCGAACAGCTTTCAGTATTTTGGTCATAACTTTCTCTCTTGATCTTCGATTGAGGTGATTCAAAGTTCATTGGGAAGAAAACCCAAAGATGTACACTTTTGATAGAAATAGACTTCCTCAAATTCTGATGTTTACTATGCCAAAAATGGATCTCAAGTAAAAACTCAAAATCACGAGCATAACTTTTTCGCCTGAAATTTGATACTTGATAATACTTCGACCATATTTCACCTCTTGACTCCTTTCCTCATCCGATTGAACTTTAACACTCTTGAATCTTCATTTCATTTCCCGTCTCATCTATGGATTATTTGCAACTTGGTCCTCGATCTATCGCTTTGTTCCGTTTTGGTCCTTTTTCGGCTCTTTTCTTCTGAATTCCATCTTTTCCATAGAAACACCTACATAGCATGAATTTAACAAGATTAAGTCATAATTCGACTATTTTTTCCATGTTTAAGTCATGTTAGTGAGCTAAATAAGTGTGTGAAAACACACTTATCAATAACCAAATTCATCTCAAAACCAAATGAGATGATCACTTGATGAAACTTGTAATACCATTGACGAGACATTTGTTTGAGTTCATAGATGGATTTCTTTAATTTACAAACCATTTGCTTTGCATCGTCCGATACAAAGTTTTCTGGTTGTACCATATAAATTGTTTCATCAATGTCACCATTAAGAAACACTGTCTTAACATCCATCTGATGTAGCTCAAGATCGAAATGCGCTACCAATGCCATTATAGTCCTGAAAGAGTCTTTCGAAAAAATCGGAGAGAAAGTCTCTTTATAATCGATGCCTTCTTTCTGTGTAAAACCTTTTGCGACAAGACGAGTCTTATACCTCTCTACATCACCTTTCGAATCCCTCTTGGTCTTAAATATCCATTTGCAACCAATGGGTTTCGCACCTTCAGGCAATGGAACGAGGTCCTATACGTCAT